TGAGAACTTTCAACACTTAAGTTTCACCTTATTCCTGAAAGTCCAGTCCTTGAGAATGAGCTTTACCTGAAAGTCTAACATGCCATGAACATGAATAGTGTGCTAGGTAGCTTTATCTTTGCTTTGAAATGAATGCCAGCATGGTTTCCAAGAAGTTGAACATTAAATAATCTACAAACTTTCCAGTAAAAAGTCTTTTTGTTAACAATCTTAATTGTTTTCTGGATATCAAGTCTTGGATTTAAATGATTTTTGCACTTTCTTACACCATACTTACACTTCACATAAAAGAAAATTTGTAACTTGATGCTGCTTAGTAATGCTGATATGTCACTCAAAGGGCAGAGTACAGTGGTGGGAAGTTCTGTCGTGTTTGTAGAGGCTGATTTGGCTCAGATTCCAACCCCGTAGGTTTCACTGGGGCATAAGAAAAGGTGGAACTTGGCCTAGGCTGGCTTTGCACATTGCAACCCTAAATGTTAAGTGGCTTAAATAAATTAAGTGGCTCTTGAAGATGAAAATGCAGCAAAATACTTCTGTAAAACGATTCAGGAAGCAAAATACTAGCTCTTGCCAAAGTCTAAAAATGTTGGTTTAGCTATATTGGTTCTGTTTTTTATTGCAGTACAAGTGAAACAGAGCTTTGAGGCAAAAAGTGCTGGAAGAAAATGGATGGCAGAAGTAATACAAATCTGATAGGGTGTTGTGGCGTGTAGTTACTACAGCTGGCTCTCACTTATGCTTTAGCCTCAGTTCTCATACATTTTTTTGACATAAATATATCTGAAGTTGGTTGAAGCGTAGGCAGTAGGATTCATTGGGTTTTCAGAGGTCCTTGAGGAAACATCCTTGATCTTTATTGCAGTATCCCTGTTGCTGTGAATCCTGAGCATGACAAGTCACAGCAACAGTGATCAAATCAGCCGGTGACAGCTTAGACCCATAGGGGCTTGCCTGGAAGGGGGATTTTTTCTTTATCAGTGTGAAGACTTCCTTGGTAAAACACCTAAATCGCCTAAATCTCTACCAAACCACTCTGCGTATTCGGAACCCCTGATGCTCCATTCCAGCCTAGCATAGTGAGGTGCAAGTTGGGTAAGTTCTAATTTTCTTAATTTGACACAGGTATCAAAGGTAGCTGCGCTGGGTTGAAGGGGTGCGTGGATTAGTTAGCACAGATTCCATCCCTTTGGCCAGGTAGAGAGGTTTAGGAAAAGCCCAAGGCCAGAACAGAGCTGAACCCTCCCAGCTTCCAGCGGCTGGGGGTTCAGGGACTCCCTAACCACACCTGTAGCTCAGTGGCCAGTAGTCTCTGAGACTTCTCCTATGTGTGTTACTCTGGTATTAAGCATGTACTTTACTTTCTGAATACTTAGGTGTCCACAGCAGCCTGTGCTGAGTTCTGAAACTGTTGTGTGACAATAATACCTTTTTATTTTATTTGATGCGTTTCAATTTCTATGTTATGAGAAACAGCAAATAATTATTCGCTGTTAATCTTCTCCTTGACATTCGTGGTTTTGTATGCCTGTCATAGCTGTTATCTCTTCCAGGCCTGGGATATTTTAGGTTATTAAATCTTCTTCAGAAGCTACTTTATACCTCTGCTTGTGCCTTTTTTCCTTTCATTATCCTTAACATACCTTTTTTTTTAAACTTCTATTACAGTGTAAGTTGTAATAGCCTTGGAAATGAACAGTGAGCATCAAAATTAAATCCTGATCTTTTACAGTTGTTGCATAACATGAGCGCTTGTTCAGCCAGTAGACTTTTAAACTTTGAAGACAGAAGTAATGCTTTTGTTCTTAAAGGAAACATTTGCCGCAGTGTACCAATCTGCATCCTTTGGAATATCTGAACACCAACTGTGTATTTTTTCTTATGTTATTAGATGTGGTGGATTGGTATGTAGTATAGGAGCCATCGTATTTAAAACCTGACATCTTGCTTGCTTAGCACAATTGCAATATAAGAGGTTTCTGTTTGATCTCACAAAGTGGTCAGTGTGGTTATTGTAATTGAATTTGAGGTATGTCAGAGAAAGAGGAATTAATACAGAAGTAAGAAAAAACAACTATACCGCAGCATCTCGGAAGCAGACAGCGTGTTATATGACAAGTGTAAACTTAGAAATACTGCCACCTGATGAAGAAAGTAAAAGACAGCTAACTCAAGGAAACACTGAGGTTTTTTATGGAACAGAGGGTGTAGGATTTTTTTGCAGTATTGCAACTATATTCTTGCTTATAATAGTACTGAGATTAGGCATAATTTAGTTTGTGCTTCCTTGGTTTAGTTCAGACATCAATGAGGTTTGAGTTTTGCATTTCTGTTTGTTTTCTTAAAGAAAAAAAAAATCCTACTGATTAGAATGGGTTGAGGAGTCAGGTCTAGTCAGGCCGAAGTTCTGTTGCTTCTGTGAAGCATCTTCTGCACTTGTCAGACTTCCTTTCAGAGAAAAAGTTCTTGGGGAACTGCCTGTTTTGCTGTGTGGTTACATGAATTTCTCTGCTGGCACAAGCAGCTGTCCCACTGTCCTCCTTAAAACTAAAGCAGCAGTGCATTTACTGATGCCATAACTTGATAACCACTTATTGTGCAAATATGAGTCAACTTTCCTTTTATTCATTTCACTTTTTTCTTCCACAGAAGACAATTCTCTTCCTCCAGAAAGTTTAAATATTTTTTAAGCAGTTCTTTCAGTTGAAAATAAATAGCACTAACATAGACAGCAACTGGGGAATTGCTAAATAGTTCCTACAGATTTGACTTTTTTCTATTTTTTTTTTCTTTGTCCAGGCCTGTTCTCATTCACCACTTTCTATTCTAATGTTTGCACAGCTCCTCAGCTGTGTGTGTCCTCCGCGATGCCAGGTTCATGTCACTCCTCAGCAGTTGAGCACGCTTCAAACTTCTGCCAGTCTGCAGTGTTTTCAGACAGCGATGGCCTTAGATAAAGTGTGGTAGATGAATATCTGGATTCTGATTTGTGCACTATATTTGTACTTAAATGGCTGAGCAGTTCTAGTGTTGTGGTGTAATGAAACCTGAACGTTGCTACTTCAGGGCTCGCAGAGCTATGCTTGCAAATTGCTTCTGCTCAGTTTCAGCTCTCCCTTCAGTGGAGATGGGGACATTTCCTGAGTCAGCATGTTCTGTATGGAACAAAGTTTACAATGTATAGCAGGTAATGTCAGCATCTTGCAGTTTCCCAAAGCTTTTAATGTGCAGTTTGACTTACAGCATACCTTCAGCAATACAGCAAATAATTCAATTAAGGGTATGCAAAGAGGTTGTTACAATGGCTTTTAACTGCAAGGCCATGACGAGGACAGGAACAAAACTAAATGTTTTAGGCCATTACTGGAGGTCAGTGTTGGATAGTTTCATATGTCCCAAAGAACCTTATGTGTTCAGATGAGACATTCTCATCTTACTCATCCTTCCCCTGCAGCATGAGCAGTGTCTGCGGGAGGTGCTTGTAGACCAGGAGACACTGGGATGTGATGCAGCTGTGGATGTCCTATGTAACTTAGAGCAGCTTCTTCATGCTGTGTCCTTCCCAGTTGTGTTTAGGGCCACTTTCCCATGTCTTTCCTGTGATGGATACCTGCTAGTCCTTTTCTTTATATATGGTTCTGTTACGTCACTCAGTGCAGGTGTGTACTAGCTGTCACTCATCTGTTATGTGACCTAGTGAGCGGAGCTACACGCACCGAGGGGTGGGAGGCTTAGGTATGCATCTGTGTAAATGTGAATATCCCATTCTCATGGTGCTGGAGGAGCAGTCATCCCCCTGCTCCTCATCTGGAACTTCTTTACTGGTAAGGTGCAGGGAGGCGTTATATTTCCCTCTTCCCTCCTCAGGACTTCTGATTTCGTATAGCATTGCTCTGCTTGACACACTATTCCAACTTTGGTTTATAGTCAGCATCTTCTTAGAGCTGCTTTAGCTGCTGAATCCCTTATGTATAAGAATTTTTAAGCAACAGAAGAGGCAAGCTGATGTGATTCCTGTTACTTTTCCCACTGCTATTCAGAGCTCTGCTGGAAGCAATGAATGCTGGTTAGTTTTCTACTTCTGAAATAGAGATGAGCTGAGAAGCAGCAGAAATATTCAAGCAGTCCATGTATAGTCCTGTGAAAATGTTGCTGTCTTAGTCATGATGCCTGCTTTTCTTTTGCCAGCTGGAAGAAGTTTGTGGAAATGATGGCTTTACTACAAGAAGAATTAGTTTTGGTCTTTGAGAATACAAGTCTTGGTCAAAATAAAGTCTTTGCATTCCTAAGCCTTGAAGTTTTTGTATTCTTCTGTGTTTTCTTCCACTGTACAGCTATGTGCACAGCTACCATTCGTAATAGACCAGTCTAAGCAAGTCTAATACACAGGATGCATAGTAAAATGCTTCAAGCAAAATGATGAATAAGTAAATGAATACTGTTTTTGCTTCTTTTTAAATATCTACATACAGTACACAAAAGCATGTTAATTTGCAAATACCCATCAAGTTTCTGAAACCTGAAATGTGAAAACAAATTAGTCAAATGTAGTGTGTTTTTATTGACAGCAGCCTTCCTTGTTTTCACAGGCTGCCCTTTTAAATGTTGCCTCATTGGCTGCAGGCATGGTGTACAAGCATCACTTGTTCTTGGCAAACAATGCAGCTTTACTACGCATCATCATATGAAAAGCTTCATACTCCTCCTATATCATCCCCCATGTGCTAGATCATGAGCACTTGACCACACATGGTGTACTGTGCATCAAGTACATAGCAGTAATGTAGGAGGAGTATAGAAGGAACAAAGACTCGACCTGTAATTTTTCAGTGTGTGAGCTGATTGCTGATGACTCCTTAGTAACTTATTAATATTTTGCTGATATTGAGCTGTTAAATATTCTCTTTCTCTGACCATGCTTTTGTGTGAATATTAAGCTGTTGAAATATTGTATTTCTCTGACCATGCTTTTGTTAAATAAAGATATCTTATTATTTCAGGTTGCAGTTGTTAAAATGAAGTGTACAGAGCGCATTTATGCAATGAAAATTCTAAATAAATGGGAAATGCTTAAAAGGGCAGAGGTAAGTAATATGGTTCTCTAATGCAGAGAGTTTTTAAAATGGCATTAGGAAAATGACATTGAAGCTTTTCCAGATTAGTAAGAATTATTTCATGAGCATAGGAGCTTCGTTCTTTTTTTCTTTTTTTTTTTTCTTAAGCTGTTTTAATGCAATCAAGTCTGACAGACCCTTCCAGGCATCTGTTGTTCTCAGCATTACTGTGTATTCGTTTACCAGACAGTCTGCCCTAGTTCTTACCCTGAATTTATTGGCCAGATTTTTGTTTACATTAAAGGCAAGTTAAAGACTACATGAAAGCAGAGATTGGTGCTACTATGACATTCACAGCTGTATACAAAAACATTATGAAAAGGTCTTTTTTCTCTTGCATTCAGAAAGCATACATTAAGGAGCTTTTGCATCCTACAGTTTGCAACAGGATTTATATAACTGGTAAAACTATAACTAAATACATTAGAATCACAGATTCAGATTGTAAAAGAAAATGTGTTAAAAAGGTAAATCTGTTTAAAAAGGGTATTTTTGATGAAAGGAGATGTACATTGCCACAACAACTTATGCAAATGTGATTGGGTACTTCACAGATTAGGAAAGGACCTGCTGAGAATATGCCATGGGAAGTGGCATAGTCCTAGAATACCTACTGCACTGTAGAGGAAAACCTTACAGCAAATGTAATATTATATAAATTTGCAGTTAAGAGCAATAAATTTTAGGGGAAAATACACATATCCCATCGATACGTGCAGCAGCTCTGTTAAGGGGCGAAGGCTAGCTGCTTGCCGAGGACTGAGCTGGCTGACCCTTCTCTGTCCTATTCTTCTGTCCCCTTCCTGACACCTCCTTCCCCCAGCCTGCCCTTCCTTGTCCCTCCCTTCCTTTTAGTGAGTCAGTGCCAGCTCTTTTCCTGTGAATAAACCTCCTCCCTCTTGTTAAGCCCCTCTTCACCACCGCCTTTGACTGATTTAGTCACACTCCATCCATGGGTCCACGCTCTTCTTTATGCCACTGCCGCTCGGCTGTTCTTTGAGCCATCAGGAGAGTTCACGCTCTTGGCTGTGCTGCGTCAGCGGTTCTGCATTAAAGCCTTCCCACATATGGGGGAAATTTGGTGCCCTTTCTACACAAGTTTCAATAGGGTTAATTCTTTGGTCAATATAGAATTGTTTTAAACATAAATACTTGCAAGAGACTCCCAAACTGTAATGGAAATACAGCTATGCTGGCTTACTTCAGTCATTTTTAAAGTGACTTAATTAAATGGCCAACCTAAATAGCCGAAACGTTTACATGTAGAGATGTCTGGAGAGGAGGAAGGTTATCCACCAAGGAAGAGGTATAATGAGCAGTAGTTTTCCCAAAACACACTTAGGACAAGTAACAGTCCAGCTAAGCTATCTTTCCACTGATTTTCTCCATCTACAAAGGACAATAAAGGAACTGTCCTCTCTGCTGTGGCCCTTTATCTTTTCCTGTGTTTGCTCACTTGATTTGGCTTTTCTGGATATGCAGGTTATAAAGTCTTGCTTATCAAGTTCATGAAACATCTGGGTGTTAAAATTTCCCAAATGTGGGAAAACTTGTTAGCTTTTAAAATGAGGCTTGCAAGAATACAGTAGTTTAAGTGGGCAGTTCCACTGAAAATCAGAGTTCAGGTGTTTTATTATCCACTGTCCGAGTGGTCTAAAAAGCATGTTGTTATACTGGTTTACGTTTGGTTTGTATGACTTATTAAACATAGTAAAAAGTTATCTAAATACTGCTTACTTGTGTACCAGCTGCAAGAAAAATCCCCATATGGTTGGAAGCCACTAAAATACAGGAAGGATTAGTGAATATCAACTGACATCCCTAAACGCCTTGCAAGCAAAACTAGGCATGCCATTTATGTTGATAAGGTGGACCATTTGTATTTGTTGTTCTGACAGCAAAATACATAGTCATTAGTCTATTACTGTTGACAGTTCCAAATAAGTCCTGACTGGCTGATTAGGTAGCCTGTCATGCTTTTTCAAAGCTCGTCTCGAGGCCTTTTTAAGCTAGGGTAAGCAGAAAAGGAGAGGTTTAGACTTTGAATTCATGATGCAAAGTGTTCAGCAGCATTACTGGTTTTGAAGTGTTCATAACATTCCCTCGCTATTTGAGGTTGCACAGTGAACTGGATCAAGGAATTGATGTCTTCAAAAATAAACAAACTAGTTTTCTGTGTTGGCAGCCTCCCTGCGTCATGGTGCCAGAAGAACTGAGAAGCGCTGTGCTCTGGTGCTGCGGGCAGGGATAGGATTACTTGGAGCTGCTGTTGCTGCCAAACTTTTTGTAGAGTGATGCTTTGGCCTTGTATTCATAAACCGTTAAACCACTCTCAGTTAACATTTAATTACAATTTAAATCTCTTTGCACCAATAACTGCTGACTTTACAACATGGCCGTAGTATGGTCATCTTCAGCAGAAATGTAAATTGAGTTTTGCTTCCTTTGGGGGAAAAATGGTTGAAATACCTTTAGAAGATGTAATCAGTGTATAGTAAGGCTTGGGCTTCCCAGGAATATTCCTTCCTTAGCACAATTTCCAGGACATCTGGACAAGTGGCAATGGCCAAAAAAATAAAAAAATAAAAAAAATTATCTAGAACCCCAACACTTGAATCTGCAGCTACTGAATATCCTAATCATGGCTTTCTGGATTGAGAGTAGTGGAAGAGTCCCAAGGTCTGCATCTTGATGGTTCTGATCCAATAAAAACTTTATTATATTTTTACTAAGGAGGACTCGCTTGATGTTTATGAAAGTTGGTTTTATGTAAAGATGCTGAGAAAACCTTTTAGAGCTTGCTTCTCTGAAGTGTTGCAGTGTGCTATTTGAAGTAGAGGAAAGATTATTGAAAATGAAATTGTATTATACTGGACAAAGGTAAGACAGTAATAGGAAATAAGTAGATTTTACTATAGTGTGTTGGCAGTGTCTGGAACTGGAACTGCAATGTAAGAAAAGTATACATGAAACTTATTTTTTCAAAGGTCTTTTTCACAAGAACCAGACTGACTTCCTAGAGCCGTTCTCTTTCTGCTACAGATTTCAATGACAAGTTATCATTTTTCTGTCTTATTTATAAATACCTTATGGAACAAAGACTCAGTGTAGGCTCAAACTTGTTTGCAGGCTTTTTGGTGTTTTGGGGATGTGTTGTGTTATTTTTTAAGGTCACAGTCAGGATTAGAGTGACTGAATGCCTGACTACAAGCCTGCAGAGATTCCCTGGCTTGTCACTAGTGCAGACTGAATTCCAGTGAATAGACGCCTCTGTTCAGTAATTTTAAATAATCCCATGAAACATCCATATATATTAATCCTGTGAAAACTACTTGTTGATGTTGACAATGGCTTTTTCCCCTCTCTTCCTTTAGACAGCTTGCTTCCGAGAAGAGAGAAATGTCTTGGTGAATGGAGATTGTCAGTGGATTACGACATTGCACTATGCCTTTCAAGATGAGAACTATTTGGTATGTTTGATTCATTAGCAAATAAAAGCTTTAGATTATGAAAAAACTTTATTTTTGGTACATTCGAGGATATTAATGAAATAAGTCAGTCCACCTCATGCTTCACAGCAGTATTTCGACATCTTGTTTTCTCCTTGAAGAAAAACTTCAAAAGACTGACTGTAACTCCAGGAGAGTGAGAAAGTCTTGTAGTACTATAGTATATAGAGGTTTATTTAAGCACCTTAAATGAACTAATCTACCCTTGCACCAAATATATTGTGCTTAAGTTTAATGTTTTGGATAACATTGCAATTAAATAATTTGGAAGGTGTTAATTCTATGAAAGTAAGAAATATTTTTATCTTACTTTAAACTTTCAGACTGTTTTTTGAAGCGAGATTCTGTTTAAAAATTACAAAAGTAATTTAAAATTTTATTTTAAAAAATGATTAAACTGATATTTTAAAAGGCTCAGGAAAAAGTAGTCTATTTCTCAATATAAACTAAATAAAAGATGTTTTAAAATCAGCACATTGGTCTTAGTAGTTTGAGAGACTTTAACCGTTTGTAAAGAAATTCATTATTCCTCTTACTTTTTTTTTTAAAGATGGATTACTAGAACTGTAACATATAAGCTATGTTTACCTTAGTCACAGAAGTCAGGAGAGAGCTGGTCAGGAGCAAAATCAGTAAAGCCCCCAACGTACTACAATATACTGAACCATACAGCTTCCGTGTGGCTACGTGAGGCTGGGTTTGTGAACCTGCTATTTCTGTAAGAACTGACATCATTGTAGTGTGAAAGTTTTCACCTTCTTAACATTTGTTAGATTGTATCACAGTAGCAATTCGTGATTATAAATAAGAAAAAAAAATGTATTGATAAAAGGCTGCCAATGAGTTCAGGAGGTAAGCATATGAAAGTTGGGAAATACTCAAACTTCTTCACAGGTGCTTAAATTAAATTATTTTGAGTGTCGTGTTAAAAGTATTTTCAGAATAACAAGCACATTGAAAGCAAATAAGTAGCTGGGTCTCAGACCCTCGTTTGCAGGCTATTTCCATTGAGTGCTTTGCGACAGATTTTCACCCTCTTTAAGTTTAGTGATCTCTGACACTGCCTCATGAAGATAACTTGTAATTTGAAATTCCCACAGAACCGAACAGCCTTCAGCCTTGCATAAAAATAACCTGAGATGTCCTGTACTGTAGTATTTCCAAGTAGCTTCTAAGAATGGAGTTACCTATGAGAAAAATGTTAGCTGTGCAAGATAGCAAGCACTAGTAATGACTTTATAGAGAGGGATCTAGTGTTGCTAATACAATTTAATACAAATCTGTTCCAAGCAAGCTATAGCAGTATAATACATCTTTTTTTCCCCCAAGTTCCCAAAGACATTTAGATGTTGAAGTTTCACTTGACAGCAGAATTTAGACATCTAGCATCTAAGATCCATTATCTAAGAAGGCAGCAACTCTGCCTGGCAGCCGAAGTCAGCAGGTTCCCAGCTTGCCTGAGGTCTGGTTCTGCATGTGGTGAGATGCTGCCTTCCAGTTTGGTCTGTTACTCAGCATCCATCTCATGTAGATGTCTGGTGCTCGCAGATGGAGTGAATCTGCATCTCAGTCACTCTATTGTAAGTGATGCATGAAGAAAAAGTGAAACACTTTCATCCAAAAACCTGGACAGAAGATTCTTTTCCATAACATGTAATTGGTTCACTTGTCCAGGGGCTAAAAGATCTTTGTTCAATTCTCTGCTAAGCTTGAAGAAGTCTATAGCCGTGTTTTTCCACATCTTGGGAGGGTGCTACCATGTTACAGAACCTAGGCAGATTGGGTTTACTTTTTAGCTGTGCTGTTCGTCCCTGATCCTTGTAGAATGAAATGCAAAGCTGAGAACAAAACAAGAACAGACAACAGAGCTTGGTTCTCCAGCCTAGAGTGGATATTGGTCCTCTGAAAGAGAAAGCTGTAGGTTCTGATATCTGCTCCCAGTGATGTTGGTGCATTGTAGCTAGTGATTCTTAAATGCAAAACCCCGTACGCTAACCCTGAAGCAGAGAGAGAACCTTGGTGTCTTCCCACACCTAGAGCTTTGCCATCCTCCTCTGGCTGCATGAGAAAGGGTTCAGAATGAGACAAAGAGAAGGTAAGATGATAAGGTAGAAAAGTAGTAGCTGCCCTTGGAAAGTCTAGAAGTAACTGGGGTTTTATTCCCTCTATTTAGTATTAGTAGAGCATGTGATGATGCAGAACGTAAATATAAGCAAGAAACACAAAATGTTCATTTTCTGGTTCTGCTCCTGTTTTAAAATGGTTTAGAGGTAAATACACCATGTGGTAGTGTTTTCTAGACAGCCAACTCTTAAATGACATTACATGGAAATGCTATCACGACTTTCTTCTGTTCTTAGAAAGCTTTCGTAGAGACAGTTTGAGTCAAGATGGGTTAAGTAAGCCTTTGGTGATTTTGCTGTAGCAGATATGGTGTAGGTGAAACATAGTTCATGAATGTTAGAAACATGTATGGGACCTGAAGTTCTTAATCTCTTCCAGATGCAAATCTGTTAGTTTTCTTGTGACTTAGCAGAAAAATTTTCTTTCCCAGTCTCATTCATGGAGAAGGGCATGTGTGTGTTTGTTTCCTGTCAGCCTCTTAAAGGCTTCTGAGTATTCATGAGAGTATTTTGATGTCTTTTTTTCCTTTGATTTCCAACTACTCTCCCCCTGTTTGATGTAGTCACTTCCCTGGAAGAAATGTGATACCTCTAGATTTCAGCATCAGAATAGCCTTTATTTTAACCCCATGTGAAGGGAGAAGTGCCTCCTGGCATGAAGATTGTTGTGAATTGGAAGATGAATAAGATGTGACTTTCTTATAGAAGAGGTTTCACCATCTTCCTCTGATCCAAGTGCCTCATTTCATGGGTCAGCTGAGTTCTTACTGAGTTATGAACGCCATGGGAGCTGAGGGAAGTTGTCTCTTTGATGGGCAGGATATTTCAGCTTTCACACAAGGCTGTATAAGCTCTCTTAGCCTTGAATTTGAGAGAAAATACTTAAATACAATATTCCTTTTCAAAGATTGCTGGTTCCTGTCTGTTGCCTTTTGTTTTCAAACATAATTGCATGCGTACAGTGTTCCAACACACGTTTAAAATTCCTTGATGGGTTGTGCAGTATGAACTGATTTGATTTCAATGTAAGCGATGAAATTTGCCTATCAAATTAAGCTGTAATTGGAATAAGATGGAGAAAAATATTAAAACCTGTGCCTTTTGGAGTCACTCTTTTAAGCTGAAAGACAGTGAGGAACTGGTTAGTATTGTACTATATGTTCCTTTGTGTTGCTCTCTTCTTTAATTTGCTTCCCTTGTGGAAGGTGAATCTGTGGCAGGAACAGTGGATTGCAGGTTGCTTTACCTTGAGTAGAAAATGACTGCTTTGGAAAGTTAATTCCAGAATAACCAAAGTTATTCCTAAAACCACGTATCAAATCATCTTGGGAAGCATGGAACAAAATGGCTCAAGACTGGTAGCACTTGATAAAGTCATTATACTTGAAGTGATGGTCTGGATTTAGGTTGTTATTGCTAGGAAATAACTAAAATGTAATCCCTGTTTTGTGGTATGAGAAACAAATAGTAAGTCTGAGTACTTTTCTTTCATGTTACCCTATCTGTGTTGGTCCTTCCCATGGATAGGATAATGGCCTAGGAGGTTGCTTACTTTTTCATTGAAATAGATTCAAAAGAACATTAATGTTTGGATTTTTTAATTTTTTTTTTAAATTCCCCACTGTTGTACCTCTGGCTTGACAGTGCTTCTGGCTTGTCATGGGCATCCGTAATGTATAGTGTCAGGAAGCTCCTGCCAGCTATGTTATGCATCCATGATGTGGCATGTGCCAAGATGAGTGTTTGAGGATGTTGATGTGCTAAATCCCACTTTTGGAACCACTAGTAGTACTGAAATGGTACAAAACTAAAAGTAGTAACAAAATCTATATTTTAGCCTAAGCTGCATCAAGTGTTGTTTTTAACTATATTTTTTTTCTTCCTGCATCCTCTGGAAGTTGTCAGTTTAAGGGTTGATAACCTACATGAGTTTCGATGATACTAGATAATCTTCTCTGTAGTTAAGACAGAAATAAACTCACCCTGATTTACTCGTTTGTTGCTGCCATATCTTGGTTGTGTGGGTTTTTTTACAGTAAGAGCTGAATGCTGATGTGTCACCCTTACTGTGATTATTAAAGGAATATGGTATAGGTTTACACTAAATAAGGAAATAATAATGCAAATTATTACTAATTTTGGCAATTTTCCCCAGGCATAGAAAAAAACTTAGTGAAAGGGATTTTTTTCAGCAGAAAACTGATGAATTTTATTTTTTTTCTCACCACCTGTCTCTCAGTACTTAACTGCTTTATTTCTCCTTTTTCAGTATCTAGTAATGGACTACTATGTTGGTGGTGACTTGCTGACGCTTCTCAGTAAGTTTGAAGACAAGCTTCCTGAAGATATGGCTAGATTCTACATTGGTGAAATGGTGCTTGCTATACATTCCATACATGAGCTGCATTATGTGCACAGGTAAAATACTGTCTCACTTGTGAAAAATACATGCACAGTTATACAAAGTTGTAAAGATATTGCTTCATCTACAAACGGGCACAGTAGCCACAAGCAAACTGCTGTGGGTAGTTGCTTACTATATATAATAGCTGTATAAGCTATTACATTTTAAATATCAGGTTTTGATGGATTGATATTATAAGCAGTGACATTTATCTGACTAACCTTTTACTAAAGCTTTTATTTTTAATCAGGCTTCTTGACTTATTCTCGATTCATTTCATGAATATTTATCTGCCTTTGTCCAAGCCAACCTAGAAGTTTGAAGCAGACTGAATTCTCTGCAAATGTTTAGATGTTCTGCAAAATTTACGCAGACATGATAGTGTCAGTGCATCTGTTTACCTGAGGTTGTCCTAAACCAGTTTTTGTGATGAGTGGGCATGTGCCTGTCTAAAAACTGCCTATGGCTGTACGAGCAGGGTCATGATAGCTCACTGAAAGTCCTGGATGAGGAGAAGTGGACTTCATACTAGCTTTCTATCTAACTTGGCAGGTACATCTTGGCCAAGCAGGTCCCTTTACCTCTTTATGCCTTTATTTCTTAGTCTGTGAAATAAGGACAGTTTTACTGTCTCTTTTATGAAATTTATGGGTGAAATCCATTAGATGAGATGATTTTTATTTACAAATAATGTTTAAAAGACACAGTGAATTCTCAAGCTATAACACTTTGAACTTTTCTGTTCGGACTTTGATCACTGTTCAGAAATTAAAAAGAGAAGAGACACATGAAATCTGTAATGGTCCTGTGAGTAAATGTGGACAATGTGTGGGGATTTTAAAATGTTATGGACTCAGAGGCACCATTGCACCCATTTCTGAGGAAGGTGGCCTGACTAACTGAGGAGCTACATCTTTGCATGGGGCTGAATGAATGTCTGTTGTGGCAGTAGGAATGAATGGCTCTGAGGCCAAAACAAATGCTTTGAATAGGAGATGTATGAATGCCCAAGAAATTACTGCTTGGCAACTGGAATGGATTAGGAGGAAGCATGATTGCTCTGGAGAGGATTTCAAGGACCCTTTAAAGGCTTATATGACCTGTTAGCTGTAGATAGGAAACAGTGGAGCTTGGAGTCGAGGCATTAAGCTTTTCTGAACAGAAACAGTGTTCCCTTAGGCAAGCGAGATCTGCATGCAAAGCAGAAGAGCAGAGATCTGTTGGATGAGATTGGCTCATGCTTCGAATGGCACTGTGAGCAGTGTTTAAAAAACAAACAAAGGAAAAAAAATGGTCTGTAGTTGTATGTAGGCTTTAATAGTCCTCTGCACCTACTGTGCTTGACTGGTGGTTATGGGACTGTAAGAGAATCTTGACAATATCTGGAACTGAAATGTATGGAATAAGTTTAACAATAGAAAATTACTAATGAGTTTATTGAGAAAGCATAGTGAGATGGTCTAATTTTCTGGGTTAGTGCATATTTTTCTGTATTATAACAAGAATATAGGCATTTAATTTTTGTCGACAGGCATAGATTAGCATTTACCACTTTGTCTTAATACTGCTAATGAGCAACAGTATTAGTGAAGATTCAGTAATTAATTTCAAAGCATTAGCCCTTGGTTAAAAAGTGTTAATTCAAATTTGGGTTATGTTGAAAAAAATTATCAGATTGGCAGGATTTTTACACACACGAGGAGCCTTTGTTAAACCTGTCGTGGTTTTTCTCATAAGTCTCCTCAAGTGTGAAACTGTGGAATTCAGCACCTTAAAAATCAGACATTGGCAACTTCCACATCTACGTAGCAAGGTGTATTTGACCATATTTTTCCCCTTGTTCCTAATGACTCTAATCTCTTTCTCAAAAATAAAGCTGAAGCTGTTTACAATTTTTAAGTTTTTGAGCACATGTAGTGGCATTTGGAACTTCTCATTTGAAAAGAAATACAGTGTTTTATGGCGCAACAAAACTGGTGGGTTTAATGTAAAGTGCATGTGGTTTTATTTATTACTAATACATAATATTTGAATAAGTATGATGTCTAAAAAAAACCTTGAAAACCACCAACAAAAAAACCCCTAAATAAATCAACGCATTTATAGGTCTTGTTATCTTTTTTTGCTAGCTTAGATAAATAATAATATTTCAAAATGGCATGATGATATGGTAGCATGTTGAGAGTTGATCTTGGGTAGTGTGGCTAAAGAAAGGAAAGGAGACTGGTATGAGTTACCTTGCAAGACTTGGATGTTCTAGAGGTAAGGGAATTCAGTCATTTGTAACTGCTGCATGTATACAGGATCCAAGGATCTTTAGGTACCCATAGAAGAAAATATGCTGTGCAGTAAGTAATGTATAGAAAGTCTTGAACAGCAAGTGAAAAATACTGGCCAACAGAAATGCTGGACAAAATTTAGAGAAGCAGTAAAAAAATCTTCTTAGATAACAAGTTAGAAATTGGTTATCAATCTTGGTGAAAAACATGAGATGCAAAGATTACCTTTTCTCTTTTGTCTTTCTTGTCCCTAAACAATGTATTGTGAGGCATGTAATCTGGAAATTATGTTGATGAAATAAACTACCTATCAGTTACAGTTGTATGACTCACCGTAATTGTTCTGTTTGGTTATTTGACCATTCAGAGTTCAACTTTGAGCTGAATCTCTGATACAATCTAAGCTCAGTGGGAGGAGAGGTTTGTAAATACTGGAAGAAAAGAGTTTGCATCCATGGGTACCCCAACATAAAATTCTTTGTTATTCTGATGCAAGATTAATCTTTACAAGCAGAGCTAATATTATATATTTATAACTTTTCACTTCTTTCTATTATAACAGGGACATAAAGCCTGATAATGTTCTTTTGGACATGAATGGCCACATACGACTGGCAGACTTTGGGTCCTGTCTGAAGATGAGTGAAGATGGCACAGTATGTATGAAGCAAAATTTAATTGAGTTGCTGGCAGTGGGACCTTTTAAGTAATTTGCTGCTCAACATATTTATAAAAACACTTTTGACATCTCTGTCTCCTCGTTTTACACACTGTTACCTTTTAAAGTGTTACTTCGCTATATTTTTCTACCTTTTACCTTTTTTCCTACTAGCTATTTGAGTTCTCATGAGATTTTTATGAACTATCCAAAGATCCTGTGTTAAAAAAAGGATAGAAGTTTGATGTTATTTATGTGTTGGAATCATAGGTGACCAGGAACCTAGCAGTCATAACAGACTTCAAGTATAGGCCTACCAAAATGGAGGAGATAATTAATAAGCAATTTATTTGATATCCCTTTTACAAAAGGAACAGCGACATTATGGTAATCGGCCATCTTGTGCACCACATTGGATACATCCCTAAAAGCTAAATCACTCGTGAGGTTTGTTGTGTGTTTTGCCTGGTGTAGGGTGCTTCCAGAGGTGCCAGTCCTCCCAAAGTATGGCATCCAACATCATTCATTGATTTTGGCACAAACTCAGGTCTTGGTGGTGTTGTGTAGTCATAAAATGCCTGTCAAAAATTTACCATATTAAAAGGCAGAATAAATTGGAAGGAGCCGTTATAACTCTATGTGAAACCTGAGAAAGTATTCCTAGAGATGCGAGCTGCTCTGCCACTGCCCTGATGGTCAGGGCTTCCCCACTACTTGGGCACAGGACAATTCCCCACCTTACACCTGTATTGCATCCACTTACACATTATGCAATAAGCATTAAACCAATTTCTGACATAATAAAAATAGGGAATTACTTGTCCTGGGACCTTGTTTTATGATCTTCAAATGAAACTGTAAAACTTGGGCGTAAGACTTGAACGCCTTATTCGTTCTTTATTTCAACTTCTGGCAGCCAATTGCAATTTTAAAGTATAAACAGACACAAAGGCAAAATGTGTTCTCCTCTTGTCTTTCGGCTTTCACAATAGGTGTGATTATTTTGGGTTTCTACTGTGTTCAGAATAAAACGTATCAACAGATTTTATGTAGAAGTGGACTGGAGCTTAATCTTTGCAGTCTTTGTTACTTTCTTAATATTTTCTTTATTTTGTTGCTGTGATTTTATAAATTTCTTCCAAAATCATGTCCTGCTGTCTCTCTTTGTCAGAAATACTAGTGTGTGAGTGTGAAAGTTGCTGAGAGAACCTGAAAATTTACAACAATTATGTTTGCTGCCTTTTTAAGGTACAGTCATCAGTAGCAGTGGGTACACCTGACTACATCTCCCCTGAGATCCTACAAGCAATGGAAGATGGAATGGGAAAATATGGGCCTGAATGTGACTGGTGGTCATTGGGTGTCTGCATGTATGAAATGCTGTATGGGGAAACACCCTTTTATGCAGAGTCATTAGTGGAAACCTATGGGAAGATTATGAATCATGAAGTAAGAGCTATATTAAATCTCTGTGTATTCACTGAGTTTATAATGTTTACAGAGAAACTGTTATCACTTAAAGATATTGAAGGGATAGTAGTTCTCTTTTTCTTGATGTTTTAGAACCATATTGTGTAGGTTTGTTGGTTGAGGTTTTAGGAATGTTTGCTTTTCTGAACTGCAGAAATTGAATTCTTTGTCAAATTGAAATTTTTCTCTAAATGAGGATGATGTTCTGGTTGGAAAAATCTAAGCAGTCATCACAAAATCAAAATTAAAACCAACTCTCGTGTTAGGCCTATTGAAAGTTTCCTCTGGACTGTGCAGGAGAAATGAGGTAATGCATTATTTACACAGCTGTGCACATTTTCTGTCACACTGATAACAGTACGAAAAAAGGAACAGGCAAGCCAACCACGGTAGGCATGAGCCACATGAAGAACATGAGGTTGGAGGAAGTTGCCCAGAGTAGAAGTGGTAGAAAAATGTGAACTTGAGCTGCATGAAGAACCTGAGGTTCAGGGCTTTGTCCAGGGTCAAAGTGGTAGAGAAGAGTTGGAACTTCTGGGTGCATTTTGAACAGTAGAGAATAAGAATAAACCAGTTCATGGTGTCCTTTCAAGAGCTGTGTTTATGTGCAAACTCATCCTAGGTAGCCAGAAGGTTGTGTAGGGTGTATTGGTGTAATGAGCGCAGTTTACTGCTGGTTCCAGTGCTGTGCTCTCGCAGTGAAGTTCATGGTGTCCTTTCAAGAGCTGTGTTTACGTGCAAACTCATCCTAGGTAGCCAGAAGCTGTTGTCTAGGGTGTATTGGTGTAATGAGCGGAGTTTACTGCTGGTTCCAGTGCTGTGCTCTTGCAGTGAAGCGGCGATGGATAAGACATTAAATCCTTGCTAGAGCTGACACCCTTGCTGTGATGATTATGAATCTCTTTCGCTCTAATTTCTTCAATGAACTAACTGGTTGCAAATGTAACCAGGGTAAATTCTGACTGCCTGGCACTTAAGCTACTTGCAAGGAAGTCTGAAGCTGTTGTCCGGCAGACTTTATATTTTAATCTCATTTAATTTGACTTATATTGCCTTGGTCCCTAATGATCTCATTTTAAACTTGAAAAGAGTATTATAAAAAGATATATATACTATTGTCCTTTATTGAAAAAACACACCATAAACCCCTTCTTGACTATGCAGTGGAAGTAGTAGCAAGCTAAAATACAGGAAAAGTTTTCCTGATTTTTTTTATCTAGAGTAATTTCAGATGTTCGTGGTAAGTACTTTTTTAGATATTGTGTTTGTTTAGGGTAATATAAATCTTTACTAAACTATATTTTGGTAAGTAAACAGGTATTTAACCTATAAATTAGAAAAATGCATCCTTAAATATAATAATATTTTGTGGAGAATTTCCTAGCATCATGGGTTCTTAAGAGTTGAAATTAATAAAACCTCAAGGAGTACATCTTCAGAATGTTGATAGATCTGTGACTGAGAATACCAGTGAGGGTCTGCCTTTATCGTATGATCTTTAATACATTGTAGTGTGTCAAAATTCCAGTTAAAAAAAAGAAGTTTGCTTTTCCTAATAGAGTGAGTTTCAAACAGATCTGTATTAAAGAAATTGATAAATGATTACCTGTCCTCAAAATCCATTTTAACACCAAGAGTCTATCACTGAATGTATTGCATTGTGCTCTGCCGCTGCTCACTGGAACTAGAACAATGTTTGACTATTCATTTCCAGTTTTATTAGTGTAACTTAGCACATTCTTTCTGAAAGTCATGAAATGGATTCCTTCTCTAAAAATTTCTTGTTTTGTTTTCTAGGAACGATTTCAGTTTCCATCCCACGTTACAGATGTATCTGAAGAAGCAAAAGATCTTATTCAGCGACTTATCTGCAGTAGGGAGCGTAGACTAGGACAGAATGGAATAGAGGATTTTAAGTCTCATGCATTTTTTGAAGGACTGAATTGGGATAACATCCGAAACCTAGAAGCACCTTATATTCCAGATGTTAGCAGCCCTTCTGACACCTCAAACTTTGATGTAGATGATGATGTATTAAGGAATCCAGTGAGTCTTTTTTTTTTTAAATATTACTACTGCAAGTATGCAACCTTGCTGCACTATAACATAGTAGTGAGAACTTATTTCAGAATAAATGGTTGGTTGGGGTTTTTTTTAGTTTTAGTAAAAGAAGTAAGTAGAAGATTCATTAATAAGTTGTGCTAATGAAATAAGTTTGTTTATTGTTTTAAATTCCAGAAAGTCATGAAAGAGATTCCTGAGTCTAGCAGATTTAGTTGTACTTCCTTATGGATGTGCACTGTGGTGCAGCCTTACCACAATGCATATGTTGTGTTCTTACTGCAGTCATAATGACATGAATGCTCAAAGCTGATCACAAGTAGAGCTACTCTGAGAAATTTCAAAAGAATGGAACCTCATTAACCTGTTGCTATTTATCTGAACTAATCCATTTTGGCAATTGCTACCACTTAGAACAGCAGTTCACAATTTCTGATAACCCAAAATGCTGAAGAAGGAAAAAACGTTAATTTTTCACAATTGAAATGACTAATGTTTCATATTTTAGCATTAAATAACATGGTCAATCAAAATGAAAATGTATTTTGGTGTGGAAAAAAAACTTCAGTTGCCTTTTTAGTTTACCTTTACAAGGAGCTTGTATGTGGATTTATTCCTTTTCAAAGGTGAGGGGAAAAAAATCGTTTTCAGAAATACACATACATTCTCCATGCAGCTTGCTGCTACTTCTCCACTCACTCAAGAACCAGGAGGTTGATTTTTGGAGTGGGGATGTTGGTGTTCCCCTCTTCCATTTCTGTTGTGTAGTAGCTGCTAACTCCTGTCAGGAGGAGCAGAGGGCTTTTGTGGTAATTTTTTCCATCAGCTTGTATTCCAAGAAATTAAGAGCTTTTCCATGTTTTCTGATTATATAACTAGCAGTAACTAGTATGCTAAAGCTAACAGCATGCATTTTGGTGCCAGGTCAGTTTTAATTAGGAGCTTGAAATTTCAGGTTTTCTTTAATGGTTGCATTGTGCTTTGAACTTGTCGAAAAGCTGCCCATTCAAGAGGCTCCTAAATTCAGGTTGTTATATTATTATTATTA